CACAGGCGAAAGAGACAATACCTGCCAATTCCTCAGCACTAATGGTAGAAAGAGAAGATGGGTTTTTTACCCTCATTTCAGGAGGACTAAACCCAAGCCTCACAAGGACTTGAGGTCGGATTAGCTATGAATATCTATCCGATTTGCAGTTTGCCAAGTTCCTTAGGACCTGTTCGTCTGCAGCACTGAGGTCTGGCTGGATGCCTGAGAAATAAAACCAACTAAACAAGGTCAGCCTAAGGAAAATCTAGAACTTATTCCAACTTGCATAAAAAAAAAGCTCACCCAAGTTGTCAGGGGCAGATCACCCCGAGGGACAGGAAGAGTGTCCATCACGTCGACAGGATTGAACTGCCATTCTCTCTCCCACACGAAAAAGAATAATTTTTTCCAACGTTTGTGGGAGCTCGGGAGATCAGAGATAAGAACCTTGGTTTTCATTCATTTAGAAATGTACAAAAAGCCATCAATTGGGAGATATTTGACATTGAAGAATTTTATGAGCAAAGACACGGTGGGGACACCCAGATCATGTTTCTTAAAGAAGACAAGAAGACCAACCAGTACCCCCCAAAAGTTAGGAGAAAGTTGGGCAGGGCAGACATTGAAATGCTGTAAAATATTTTTGATGAAGGTATGTAGGGGAAAGCAGAGGCCGTTCTCAAAAGTAGTCAGAAAGAAGCACCATTTTTTAGGGATAAAGGAATTATATAAGGTAAACATATCCGGACTCCAGAGCTGGAGGCCTTGAGAAAACCCAAAGCGGGCAGCCAGCACCTTCGTGTAAGAAGGAACGATGTCACTACACCCCACGAGTTCGGAGGCCCTAGGGGCAGCAACACCACCCTCAGTACTGCCTGAAATCCCCACGCCACTTACTTTGGTTTTGCCTTTGCTGGGAGATTTCAAGGCAGGAGGAGGCTCCTCAGTGCCTCTTTTGACATTGACAGAATTCACTCCGGGCAAATCATCTAACACTAACCCCACATCCCACAGGTCGGAATCTTCCTCAACGAACCCATCTTTCATTAGCGAAATGGACGATCCCGTGGCTTCAGAGGAAGCAGACATAGCTGGACAAGAATAAGAGAGTTTAAAAGACCTATAAAGAGGGGGACCTTGGAGAAACACTCTTTGAGAGCCCAAGGAGCAAGACACCGAAAACCAATGGCAAAAATCCTAACTGTGGAGTAAGGGTCCAAGAAGAGAGGAAGACGAGACGGGGAAATACTTCGGTTCTTAGAGTAGCAGAATCGAAAGGCCCAAAAATGCCAAAACCACCTCAGATTTGAAGGATCTAGGGCAAGAAGCGGGGAAAGAAAGGAAAAATGTACCTAACCGCGAATTAGTGATAGATTAAAGCTCGAGGAGGGGATTCAAAACCAAATCACGCTAAGCCTCCAAGTCAAGCTTGCTGACCTCTTCATTGATTGCCTTCTGATGCTCTAAGACAAAACTCATGTGCTTCTGCTTGACGGGCTTGCAGGTAGGATTCACACTCAGTTTGTGAATGATAACTGAGGGGTCAATGTTTTCCATGTCTTCTTGTTTCCAAGTGAACACCCCCATATTCTCTTTCAGGAACAGGATGAGAAGGTCCTTAACCTCTCTACTCAGTTTAGTCCCAATGTAGATGAGATGTTTTGACTCTTTATCAAGTTGAACTGGCTCCAACTCTTCTGATGGCGTTAGCCTGGTGCCCAGTTTGTCCCTCATGTCTAGCTCATCTAGTCGTATATTTTCAACTTCTTTCTGCCTCATTGAAGTCAAGTAACATTCCCTTGCAACCCGTTGATCTCCTCGGACCACTCCAACTTCGTTTTCTGTAGGGAATTTCATGACCAGATGATAGGCTGAGGGGATGACCTTCATTGCATTGAGAGAAGGTCTCCCGAGCAACATGTTGTATACAGTGGGGGCATCAACCACTAAGAATCTTATTGTAGTAGTTGTCTGGCAGGGGGGTCTCCCATAGTGAGCACAAGCTAGATTGAGTCCAGTGGCAACACCCATTCTCTAACAAATCCTAATAGATGAGCATTCACGGGCTCCAGTTTTTCCCCTCCTATGCTTATTTTGGCAAATGTAGAAGCAAATATGATATCTGCTGAGCTTCCGTTATCTATCAGAACTCGGTGAACAGTTCTGTTAGCCACAACAGCCCTTACCACCAGCGGGTCGTCATGGGGGTGTTGGTATCCTTCCAAGTCTGCATCTGAGAATGTGATATCTGAGCTCAGTCGTGGTACCTTAGATACAGCGTACACCTCTAAAGCCTCACCAGCTCTAATTCTGCGTAGGTGGGCTTTCCTGATTGAACTAGATTCTCCGCCTCCTGCAAAACCCCCTGATATTACCCTGATCTCTCCTAGGGGTTATTGGGGCTGCACAAGAGCCTGCTGCTAAGGTGGTGGGGCTTGATTCTGATTCTCCTGGGCTATGTAATGACGCAACTGCCCTTGTTGGATCAGGAACTCTATCTCTTTCTTCAACTGAATGTAGTCATCAATATGATGACCATGGTCCCTGTGGTACTCACAGTATTTTGAGAGATCCCTTTTCACCGGGTCTGCTTTCATCCGAGGTGGCCACCTCAGGAATTTTTTATTTTGTACTTCATACAAGGTTTGCGATATTGTTGTGGTGAGTGGGGGAATCTGCCGAGGTGTGTACCTTGGCTGCAACTCCGGATGAGGTGATCCCAGACGATCTCTAACGTCTCCCCTTCTTTTGGGGGAGCGATCTCTGTCTCTTCTTGTGGACCTATCTCGTCCTCTCTCTCTTTTGGGACTTCGGTCCCTTTTTTTCTCCTCTTTTTCTTTGTCTTTTTGCATGGATGAGCTCCCCATTTTTGAGAGCAGAGCTTCTTCGCAGTTTATGTATTTTTCCGCCTTGGCCAGTACTTCTGCCATGCTGGCCTGGGGATTTTTTGAGATGGAGAACATTAGGTCTTTAGATTGAACACCCAAACTAGCTATAAATGCAGTAATGACAAATTTCTCGTCTAGGACGTCCACTTTTAGCGATTCCGAGTTGAACCTCTGAACATAGGATCTGAGGTTCTCATGGGGTCCCTGTTTCACATTTAGCAAGTGGTAACTCGGCTTTCTGTTCGTTTGAGCTCCTCTAAAGTGAGACACAAAGGATATGGATAACTCCTTAAAGGAGGATATCGAGGCTGGGGGGAGCCTATTGAACCATGCTAGGGCTGAGCCCTTCAACGTGATGGCAAAAGCTCTACAGTGCACTGGATCCTAGTATCCATGCAACTTCATCTGATTCTTGTAGGTGTTGAGGTGATCTACGGGATCCTTTGTTCCATAAAAAACGTCTATTTGCGGTATTCTAAATTTCATAGGGAGGGAAAAATACAGCACCCCAGTGGTGAAAGGGGATCCAGTCTGCTGTACCAAGGCATCCATGGTAACTGGAGCCCTGCCTTTCACGACTTCTTTCATGTGGCTGAGCTCTTGTTGGATACACTGAAAGCACTGCTCCCAGTATTGTTCTCTCATTTCCTGTTGATAGGGGAAAAATTATTTCTCTCACCTTCTTCGTTCTGACTCTGTCCTTCGCCGTTGTGGCCATTCCTCGGGGTTATGCGAGGTTCTGGCCCCATGGTTTGATTATTTTTTTTCTTCGTTAACTTCTCTGAGGGGGTCGAGGTGTGGTTGCTCCCTAGGTGGGAGGTTGTTCTGGCCTTCTTGAGCCTGTCATGCCTCTTGTGGGCGTTGTAAGAGCTTTAAAAGTTCTTCGTTTTGTTTCAGCAAGCGTTGATTGGAGAGGCAAAGAGCCTCCATCTCGTTATTCATGAGGAGACCCCCCACTAGGAGATTGGTCTCTTGGACGCTTTCGGGTTGTCTGCTATTGGCAACTTCTTGTTGATCTTGCGCCCGTGGCGGATTTGTTTGACTTCCGTTCATGTTTCGCGTTGATACCATCAGTCACTGAAAGATCAGTTTGTTTATAATAGGACTAGTTTTTCCCACAGACGGCGCCATACTGATGGTGTATTTCAACGTGATGTAATTTTGTGATGACGAGTTAATGAAAGAAACAATATTGAAATTATTGGGATCTGAGCTACTAAATTTGAGGGAATGATACTGAGAATTGTTGGGGAGTTGGGGAATTAGCACAGTAGAAATATAATAGTTCACCAGTTCGGGAGTTCGGCTAATCCACTCTTCAATGGAGATTCTTGCTCTTTCCTTCACTATTTTCTATACCAAAAAGTTTACAGAATGTAAGATGTGATACTAGGGTTCTGCCCCTCTGTTGGGGGCGTTACATAGTATTTATAGGGGTATCCCTTAATCTATGGGATCTGATCCGTGATTCTCGTCATCTATCTGAGGAATTCTCCTTGATCTTAGGAGAGTATCTTGGTTGGTTGAGGATTTTGTGCCTTGAGTATTACTTCAAACCGCCTGTCGAGTTCTTTGTAGTATTTAATTGTTTCCTCAATGCTTCAGCTTATTATTTTGCTTGAGGAGAACTCTAACTCTGATTTTCTGAGCTTTGCATAGCTCTAACTTTCTGAGTTCAATATACTTGACCTCCATGTTTGATCTCCGTTCCCGTGCTCCTGCTCGGGAATCATTCTGAGTATCATCAGGTCTGATTTTCTTGTTGGTCACAGGGAATCAAGTGAAAGAATGAACACCCCCACCCCCACCACCCGCAAAAAAACAAAAAAACACTTGTGCCAGGGGCAGCCCATTTGCAAGAGCACCTATCTAACAGAGAGTATAGCAATGAAGGCCCAATGGAGTCATGATTTTTGTCAAGGTGGCAAACCATTTCTCAGAGCTTGGAATAGAATCAGTTAATCCAGACCCATTTCTCAATTTAGTGGCCACAAGTTCACCAGCATTACTCAGGAATATACACATATAAACCACTCCACTGGCCATGACTAGTATGAAGCACAACCACTTTGCACTTTTTTGGGACGAAGGAAGAAAATATGAAAATCTCATAATGGACAACCTTTAAACTTACTTTTCCACGATAAAGCAAATTTTGGCAGTAAGATCCCCGTTGATCTCCTGGTCACTCACTTCTAGATAGTCAATTAGCTCCTTCGTCAATGGCTTTACGTTTCTTTCATTCACTAAGAGATACACAAGTTCAAGGGCACTTCTACGAATCGAAGCATCTGAATCCTGAAAAATGAATAAGCAAAGTCATGAACTTAAGTTGTAGAGCACTTTAAAAAACAGGGTTATCCTCAGGTTCTGAGCAAAAGCTGCATTCTGGGAACTGGCAAAGCATGGAAATCATATTTTCAAGAACTTGATGTCAAACAGTCCAGTAAGAATGTCAAAAAGTGGGGTCAAAAGAATATAGAAGATCAATTATCTCAAGAACAATAAAGATAAGGCAAAAGAAAATTCATCATAGGGTGTGCACAGTATTTAATTTTCTGCTCAAGCAAGTACACAGGAACATCCCAAATGAGCCATGTCAGAATATGTGCAAGAACAGAAATCTAGAGTACAGAAAATCAAATGCAGAAGAGTTGTTTATCAAATGATACCGTATTTTTCTTGGCCTACCAAGAATAGACAAATAAGAGCACAATTCTTCTGACAAAAGAACAAAAACTCTTTTGCACATTTTTCATCATAATATAACTAGCAATAAATTAACTAGCCCAACCTTTTCACATTCCAAGATTGTTGCTCAATGCCACTGCACTGCCTGAGTATCCACTGTAATAGCTTTCATCAGCATATTCAATGCAACATACATGACAGAATTCAAGAGTTTCAACTCCATAAGATAGGTCTGACCACAAAAAAAAAGTCTAAAAGAAGGGAGATGCATCAAGAATTGGCTCATGGTATCACCTCTAGTGGACATTAATGTGGTGATAAACAGTTTCATGCTAAGAGTTCCATGTGTTCATGTCATCGACCACTACCAATCTGAGCACCTAGGCTGTTTTACTTAATTAGGTAAGGAAATCCCACTTTGACCTGAAGCTGAAAGAGGTATGGGGAAAGGGTTATGGATGAACGATATTGTATTTTTGGGCCTTGTTATTATTATTGTGT